TCTTTTTTTTTTTTTGATGCTGTGTTTCCTGGGATGAGTGATCCATGAGTTTCCAAGGATCCATGTTAAAACCACACACAGCAATAACATTGCCCACCCCCGGAGGAACATGAAGCTAACTAGAAAAAGGCCAACGTGTGATGTGTGGGAGGAAGGAAACCCAAAAGCTTACAGGTACGCATTAGAGTCAGGTGCTGATAACCAGGATGGAGTTGGCATGGGTGGCTTTCACCCAGGCACTAGGTACGACACGCTGCAAGTTAAAAGACAGCTCTGAAATCTATGGGGCGAGTTTTCACCGTTCGCTCGTTCAGAGTGCAATGTGAGCAGAAAGGGGTTAAAAAAATGATTCAGCAAAACCTTTGCCCTCCCCTCACCACCCCAAGTAAACTACACAGTAGTCCATTAAGTGGCAACTTTTAACCAGTCTTCCAAGCAAACCTTTCAATATGAAAAGGTGAGGAACACAGACATGGGGTGTTTCAAATCACTGCACATTGCACCAGAAAAGCTGCACAGGCAAAGCTTCGCTTGCTGCCCCGTGCGACGTTCCAGCCGTCTTCTGAAGCTCAAAGAGATGGGAACATGCCCATGAAACACATGCAAAGCCTTCAAGCGGCAGGAGTTCTCGGTTTTTATAGAGGGAGAACTCAGCTGGGCTTTAGGGGGATGATCCAAAGCAAAAGAACAGGTCGGCTGTTGTTCTGCATTGAACGTCCTCCGTTACATACATCTTGTGAAAATAGTAAGTTGAATGCGCCACGTGTAAGCATGGGCTCAGACATTCGCTAAGCTCCCCACCCTCCCCAATTAAGTTGCAAGCATGTGCTGATGACAGTTTGATGGCTGGATGGTATGGATTAGTCCCAGAGACTATTTTTGATTAATGGTGTAATTTAGAGACCCATAAATAAATAAATAAAGTGGATTTTCAACAACTTAAAAGTAAAAATTTCTAGAAAGGCATCAATGTATTTGCTAAGGCGTTGAGCAGGTTCCTCCATGTTCTTAGCAAGACCATCCACGGTATCCATAAACGGGGGCGGGAGGGGGCTTCTTGGATGTAGTATGTCTTGGACAGAAGCATGAGTTGTTCTCATTTTAGCCGCTCGATGAGTCCCTGCGTCAGTCCAAGGTGCAAAAGCTGACATCTGGAGAGAGTTGCTAGATGAGGGAAATATGCCAGCAGCTTCTCCCACGACAGTTCCAGCAGGCTGGGTACCACCAGCCACATTTTAAACAGAGAGCCAGTCCGTTTGTTTTCATGGATGTTGACCACCCCTCCGTGAACATACATGCAGCCAGCCTAGATGGGAAAAGGGGGAGAGGGGAGTTATGCAGGGCACAGACCAAACTGGCACACCAGAAGGTGCTGAGGAGCGACGCAGCCAGGAAAATCGGGATTTGACTCTCCAGATTCCCAGCTGGTTAATCACAGAGCGAGATTCATCTCAAGTGTCACTGCCTGAGCCAGCCACCCCGGGCTCCTCGCGTAGCCAAGGGGAGGAATCACCGTGGAAGGGCACGTGTCCCACCCTGAAGCACGTATCTGCTAGCTTAGAGTGCTTTGCTCTGTATTTTAGGTGAATTCTACCCCAAAAAAACAATTTTAGGAGTGGGGCAAATAAATTAGTATAGAACCAAACTTAGGTTTCAGCTAAAAAGAATGTCCGGGTTTTTTTTTAAACTAAAACCACACCATACAAAGACGTGCTGCACTATCTCTCTGCTGGCTCAGCATAACCCTGCTGCGGGAATGACATGAACGCAGAGAGATGGGAAAAGCTCAGCTGCTGACCTATTTTGCGAGTGGCATTTTTTCAAGATACAGGAAAAGAAAGGGCATT